GTTGAGTCTGACTGAGACATTTTTTTGTTTAACTGATGTTTCATAGAAACGAAAACACGCTTCGCTCCAACAGCTGCTCCGACTACTGGCCTCTGTTCACTTATTCCAAATCAGTGATGTTCAGGGAAGGATATCAAAAAGAAATATCGCTCACACTGGTTTCCATCTAACTATCCAACGTGACTGAAGCTTTATTTCTTTTATTTCCAGGGCCAAGATAAGAGGCATGATTTTCCCATTAGTGGCCTGGACAAAGGAACCACCGCAGAGTCTCATATCTGGATAAACACCAGGGGGGACTCGTCTGGAAACGGAGCAGATAAATGAAGATAGTGTCAGCAAAGTTTAGAAGTTATCTCGGTTGGTTTCATCAGTCTCCGGTCGGACCACACGTCCTTCTGTTTGTCAAACGTTTCATGGAGCTGTGGTTCTCCCATGAGGAACGTTGCATTGCAATGACCTTGTTGTTTTAAACGAACATTGATTTGAATATTTTAAATACATAGAACACATTTCTAACCAATAAAACTTCATACCAAAGACAATGATGGAAAAGGGATATTTTTTTTCATCCATTATTTTGATTAAGTTAAAAAACCAAAAATGAACCCAATGACTGCTCCACCTGATTATTCCGCCCACTAGTGGGAATCTACTTTCTTCACATATAATGTACTGTAAAGGTAACGTTGGCGGATCTGTTTGTGTCACAGCAGGCAGAAGAAAGTGATAGAGAAGCAGATGTTTACTTGCAGATGTGGGATTTGGCAAGATAACAAAATGGGACAAAGGTCTTTTTGCAGTGGTGGGAAACTTCTTTAACCCTTGACTTCCCCCAGATGCTCAATGTAAACTCCGGCTTCCGCAAATTCCTTATCTGGAGAGAGGGGATCTCTGTGAGTGAGTGTGTGTGTGTGTGTGTGTGTTTGAGTGTGTGTGGCTATTTCTTCTCCTCCTCCTTCTGTAGGATGTTCATAAAGAGGAAGCCCTTTAGGTCTACTTTGTTATTGTGCACACTCTTCAAAGAGCTGAACTACTTTGGGTTGAGTGAGTTCCTGTCCCGGAGATATACGTATTTATAAAAAATCTCTACATCATCATGAAATGAAAAGAAGAGACGTTCTTTTTGTGTTGATACACTTCTTCACAAATGGATATTAAAAATAAATAAAAAACAACTATGGTAGATTTGTTTCTGGTTTTATCTGTAAATGAGTGGTTAAAAATATATAAATAAACCCTCTGGCGCAGCAACAACCAACAGATTCAGTCGTACCGGATTTTAACCTGTCACACAGTGACTCCTAGTGGCCGGCTTTGGGAGTGCACTCGCAGTGTGTGGTCACGGTGAAGTAAATTAAATTCGACACTTGTCACTGTTTACAACGAGACAACGAAAGGTTTCTTACGTTACAGACGGTGTTGAAAGACTGCGTGGATGTTCGTCGGTGTTCGGCTGCTTCTAGAAACATCTATACAGGCAGAACACGTTTGAAAACGAAATCTAAGTGTCACAAATATATAAATATCACAACTCATGTATGTTTTTTTATTATCATAATACAAAAACAAAAGAGAGTTTTCAGAGTGTGTTCTAACACACAGCTAACACGGCTAATGCTGCAACAAACAAAACTTTAGTCAACTGCTGTTCTTAGCTCTTCACCACCAAAAATACCTCATACGCTCTCAGTTCTGCTCTCACTTTTTCTTTTTTTGGGGGAGGTGTGGGGGGTTAATTAGCCAACAGGTCACACTGAGTAATGGTCTGGGATCAGTCCAAGGTAATTACACTGGGAGAGGAATGACCTCGGATATGGCTCTGCCTCAGGCTGCCTGACTGTGTATTGGTGAAAGACAAAAATTCGAGGTGAGGAAAGTTTGTGTGTGTGAGTGTGTGCGTATGAAGGCGCCCTTTCCTGACCTATAGACAGGCAGAGACAAATCACCCACAGCCCACCACAGGCTCCTCCTGCCTACTTTCAAAAGGTCAATCCAAATAAGAGACAAATGGCTTCACTTGCTCCTTCCTCCGTAACGACGACATCTCCATTAGCAAAACAAACGTGCTACGAGCTAATCTGTTTATTTTTGCAAAATCAGGTTTGATTCCAGCTCAGCACACACACACACACACTCACATCTCGGTTGAAACGAGGCCACTCGCTACTCTTTTGTTTTCTTATCATCACAACAGGAAGTTAGGAGACAACCGCAATGTTCAAAATGTCAGAAACATCCTCCACAATCCTGGAGGATCTTATCACAGACCTACTTTTAGACACTGTTTCTTTTCATTCTTCTAACACACGGTCTTTAATACTAAACAAGAGCAGAGAAACAGAAAAGAAAAGTTGTGGGAAAACTAGAAGAAAAGTTCCTGAGAGGTGATAAGAAAGTGCAGCGGTTGTGACTGCAGGTGCTGGATCTGTCTGCGAGATGTTAGATAGAGATGCTTTCTCTCTGCAGCGTGTGATGGATTGATGAACAGCAGGCCTGTCTGTCAAGATAAGGCTGAGAACACAGGAGCAGACCAGATAGAAATCAGAGCAGGTCTGTAGTGTCTGTAGCCCGAGGCCAGGCCTATCATCCCAGTGTTTCACCTAAATAAAGTCCCGGCAGTTTAACGTCACTTATCCCATTAGTTTGAAGTTCATAACATAAACTTCAGATCCTCCAGCGCTTCATGAGAAAAATAAAGATTTCAGAATGTGCTGCACATTATTCCATTCACATAATGACTTGGTGGCAGTAATTCAAATGTCATACTGTTAAAAACAACAACTGGAGTACAACTGAAACCCACAGATCTGGAAGTGGTTTTGACGTCACTGTGACTTCACTAATGTGAGCGATCACTGACAAACTGTGAGAAGAAATCCTATGAGGTGTGTGTGTGTGTGTGTGTGTGTGTGTGACTTGGCCACAGTACGGTTAAACAGTTGTGAGGAAGCTGACTGACGTGCACGTCACATAAGCCAAAAAGAGAGGAAGTGTAGTGAAGTCACACAGCATGGAAAACAATCACACTGACAGAACAGCACAGGAAGCACAGGATATGTGTGTGTGTGTGTGTGTGATGTTGTTTCCCGGTGGGAAGAGTGAATGGACAGGAAAGCTAATCGAACAAACACGCAAGTTTAAATGCCTGTGTGTGTGAGACAACAACTTTTCACAACATTTGACTTCAGTCTCTGAGAAGGATTACATAAAAATATTTATGACCGAAATTACTTTTTATAATATATATATATATATATTATGATGCAGTGGCAGGACCGCACTGTGGAGGAGCGGCAAGAGTTCTTGCCTTACAGTGAGAAGATATTCTTGGTCTTGTCTTGTATGACATTTTATGTGTGTCTGTGTCTGTGTCTGGGGGTGTGTCTCTCTGAGATGGACTGATGATTGGTCCAGTGTGAACCCCGCCCTTTTCCACTGACTACAGAGATAGAAGTAAAAGATTAAGAGGTAGAAGATGATTGAATGAATTCATTATTTAATTAAGTGATTAATTAATTAATTAATCAATGGCCATGTCTCTATATGTATAGTTTAAAATACAATAAAATTGTTCAGAAAAGAGAATTTTTTAAATTATTATACTAGTATTTGTTCTACATTAGCCGAGGCGTTAGTTAAAGGTTAGCCTAAATTCGACTCCACTCTGTTGTAAGACTGCATCAGACATTACTGCATTACTTCACTGTATTCACGTACACTGTCTTCAGTTCACCAACTTCCCAAGACAACCTCCTCCAACCAAGGCCCAAGACTGACCCCGGTCTGGACTTTGGACTCGAATACTTTTCGTGAACTTTGGGAAACAGTGTCTATCACAGATGTTTGGCATGTCAGGTCAGAGCCAGTATAAAGTACAACCCAGGGACCTTCAGTGACCGCCGTCGTTAGGTGAAAACGCTCCTCATTTTCTTTCATCAGGAGTTAATTATGATGTACTTGGCTCCGTGGTTAATAAGCAGACGTTGATTTATTCAGCCTCTGTTTTCTCTTTGTGATGATAGTTATGTAACAATGCAGCAATGGCCTCAGGGGCTAATATTTTTACAATTTATAAATTGACATTTCCAGCTAGTTCACTATACTCTGGGAAATGTGCACAGCCTGTTTTTAAATGATTTGTCATCAACTAACAATCTGCATCACGGTGTCACCGTGGCCACAAACCTGTTTCTACGTAGTCTACATCACATTCACAGGAACTGAAACAGCGTTTACTCTAGAGCTGCTGCTGTGTACTGTTCTGGTGCTGCAGAGGTTCAGCTTTCACCACATAACCAGAGAAAAAAGAAAAAGAAAAAGGGAAACCACGGCGTCTCCCATTCTGCTTTTAAAAAGACTCGTATGACCACAAAATACAGACAGACAGTCTGCTGCTGTTACTGACAGATAAACCTCCAAGGACACGGCTGCTGCTAGAAATCTTTAAAACTACTACTGGTGCTGGTCAGAGAGACCTGAGACCCTGACCTGGGCTTTTACCTCTGTGTGGGCAGAGGAGGAGAAGACACAAAGTGAGAGGAATGTTTGAACGAGCCAGGAGAGAAAAGTAAAAAAAAAACCTCGAGAGTCTGAGACGCTGGGATCTAGAGACAAGTGTACTAATGTTGGGGACACACCCCACACACCCGTGGACCAACACTCTGTAACACCATAGCAACTCAACTACATCATCAGCATTAATGGTTTTGCACTTCAATTGTTACTACAATTAAAGGATTTCCTACAACAGTGAAGGCATCTCTAGGGTTACTCCAGTTCAGTGATTCTACTTTTTTTTTCTGGGGACCCGTATTTTAAAAGTCACAAACCTTTGCGACCCAAGTTAATAGACATTATTCGTAAACTCTAAGGAAACATGATGCGAGACGGCCCCCCAAAAAAGGAGGGCCGTGACCCAGTCTTTGGGAAACAAAGCACTACAATTTCAACAAGTCAAAGGGTCAGACCAGACTTTCAAAGAGTCAGACTAGACTTACTGTCAGGGTTCGGGGACTTGCGTCCGGGATGGCTGGGTGAAGAGCAGCGGATGGTGGTCACGATGGTGTTGTGGTGTGGGTTGGGGTGATGTGGGTGGTGCACTGGTAGATGGTGGCCATTGTTCTCGGGCGGAGGTCTGGTAATGCTGATATCTGGTTTACGTACATCCCCAGGACTGCGGACATGATTCTGGTCTGTGGTCCGACTGGTCCCGTTGTTAGTGTGGCCGTCGTTGCGTCGGGTCACCGGAGAATCAGTGGGAGCTTTGGCGAACGTCACCTCCCTCTTATGGCTCGCCTCTGGGGGCTTGGAGTGACCCAGAACATCAGGGCGCTTCAGGACACTGTTGGTGACGAGGCGAGCCGAAGCAGGGCTGGAGATGCCGTCCGCCTGCCTGCTGGACGACGGCGAGATATCGATGGAGAGTTCAGAACGCCTCGACACAGGCTCAGGGGTCCTGGGTCCCCCGCCGCCCATGATGGAGCGAGGCTGAGTGTAGTTGACGTTGTTGTTGTTGGCGGCGGTGCCCAGGTCTCGGTAGTAGATGCTGGTAGGGGACATGGCATTACGGTGAGGACCGCCAGTTGTCCGGCGGGAACCGGGGGAAGAATGGGCAGAAGTGTCAACATCCTCCACCTCGAATGACCTCTTCAGAGCTGAACGAAAACACAAGGACGAAATTGTCATTTGGAAGTCAATTAAGGTCAATCATTAGTTAAGAAAACAACAGTATTAATGCTGCCTTTAAGTGCAACTTGAATTATGGTAACACATAATTATTAAAAGTAACAACAGGAAATGAGGAAAAAGAGAAGTATGTAGATGTATGAAGTATGTAGGGAAGTTATAAAGATAGATAGAAAGATAGAAAAGAGTTTCATGTAGAAACTACATTATTTTAAACTGAAACTTTTGGTCTGAGCATATAGCTTATAGCTTATAGCAATAATACAAAGGAGGTGGAAATATAGAATATACAGGGTGTTTTATTCTGTCCACATCCTTAAATGTGTCTTACATTTGGCAGCCTTACAGAGAATCTGCGATTCCTCTGAATCTAAATGTTGTGTAGTCTGTCTCTTTATCTGGTTTTTAACCACATTTTCTTGATTATTTGAATTAAATAAACAGGTGTAAAGATTGATGGAGTATTTTTCAACATACATTGGGAGTAGAATTGTAAAGAAGGTGTAAAGTGTCAGCGATTAAATAAAGCAGAGTTCAAGTAACAGTCAAACATACATGACGTCTCTGAGCAAACATATTAATATATTTCCCAACGTTTCGTCTGTAAATAATCACAGACATTTCAAAAGCACAGCCAGACTGTTAACCTCCAGTTCCTTCACCAAAACAAGTACATTATTCTCTTGTAAAGCTTTTATTGGAGGCTCAAACAATATCATACCGCGTTCATTAAAGCCACCGCAGCGATTAGGCCTCCATTAAAAGACGTGAATGACTCTTTCTGAAACACATTATGAACCGTGTCCAAGCAGTAAAAGCCTTGAGGTTTGAGGGTGGAGTAGCTTCAGAAGTGATTCTGGTGTCAACCCAGAAAATCCAGAACACAAAAGAAATTAAGCCGTGAGTAATTGGGTTCCATCCATCAGAGGTCTATGTTAGCGTTCAAGTCATTCTGCCATTGTTTGGTCGAGAGCTGAATGTCAAACTGTACGTGCGCCTCTCAACAACATGAGGGAGTTTTACTCGGAACTGTGAGAAGTTTCTCCCGACACGCTTCAAAGCTCAGCCAGCCTCTTTGCTGAGGAGCAACGTGAGCATGGAAGTGGAAGCACATCCTTCCCTTTAGCCTTTAATGTTGTGGAAAAAATAGCTGCACCGTCCAACATGGAGCTACTGAGGGATCAGTTCCCTCATTGGAATAGTTTGGTGGCTGAAAGTCGAGATGAATTTGACTCCCATTATGAAGTTGCTGTGCCAGGCCGGTGGCCCGGAGCTGTTACACTGTAATGCCATGCTAAGTTTGACTGCTCCACTCACGCTCACCCTACGAAAATACCCGTGTGTCCAGTGATCCAGAATGTAATTGGTTGTTTACTGGATCTGTTGCTGTGGATGGTGCGACTGGTGTTCCACGTGCTGGTACTGTACGTGTGTGTTTGTGTTCATTTTAAGGCAGCGACAGAACATCCACGGTCAAAGGACTGAGCTCCAGAGGTCACGTCAGAGCCGTCTCCTGACTTTCATTTACCGCCTCAGTCCAACGGGATGGTCATTTGATTCATTCTGCTTTTTACCAAAAAACTTTTTTTTTTGTCTTTGCGGCGTAAACCAAGGACGTTCTCCTTAACTGCAGTAATAAATGGCTCTACACTCGTATTACTCAGTAATACGTTTTGTGTGTAGCCTCATTAAAACCCTCAGTCTCTGTCTGGGCATTTGTAACATAGACCTTGACGCCCGGATAACTTTCCATCTCTGGCCTTCTCCTTCCGTTGCAAAATCCTACGTGTTTCTGAGACCGTGTTGTGAATCAGAGCCACCTCAGGTACTTTTACTGTACCTACATAATATGCATTGACTGGGTGTAAATAATCAAACAGAGGGTCTTAGACAAACACCGCTGACATCCATTTTAACCTGTTCTATTTTCCCAGGCTCCTTGGTTTATTTTCTGTGGTCACTGAGAACAAAGGCTGTAATCTGATAAGTAACCCTGACGAGAGTTTAAATACACACGTTCATGTTACACAGATTAAGGTAATTGCACAAGACAATAAATTCGCAATTTGCAAGTCATATTCAAATCCACAACGCCACTGGCCTGAGCCTTTTCCTCTTTGTTTTACGATTGCTGCTGAGGAGTCCAAGGCTGCGGCTTCCCTCAACTCTGATCGGAGTGCATGTCAGCCAGCCGTCTAGTAGATTTCATGTGGTGCTTTAGGTTTGCGCTGCACGCACGGTCTAATTGAGCCGCAATTTTTATTGCAGGCGTTTCCAGGTCCGAGCTACAGACAGTAAAGGGGATTTCAGTACAGACACTGTTCGTCTCTTAATCTGACAGGATCTGACTCTGTCATTAACAGACTCCTGTTTCACCATGACACATTACTTTTTTTACGGTACATTACGGTACTTTTTTCACAGCTCACTTTTCTCAGATGAGCCAACGCCTTCACACATGCAAAAATAAAAGCCTCGAGTTGACAGTGAGAAAGAGGCTGAAAGGGAAAAAGAAAAAAAATTAACTGATGGGTTCATTTTTTACTACTTAGTACCATCCAGGGTGTCCAAGGATCACAAGAAAGTACAAATGTCTCAATGACAAGACATGAAATGTGGCAGATTGCACAAATATCACTCAAATGTCAAAACTCGAGGCCCGTGGGCCAAACACGGCCCACCCAGTCATCCTGTGTAGAACTGCTGGAGCTTAGAAATGTGGTAGATGTAAATTCCACAAAGTATAGTACTACACGTATAAATACTTTGTTTACTAAAACTGTGTTTTTTAAGACGTGTCAGGATCATCATTCATAAAGAACTGTTTTTTTTTTGGATTAAATATGAAGACGTGTCAGGATCATCATTCATAAAAACCAAACCTGAGACACGTCGTTTCCTGTGATTTGTTGACTGATGTTTGATTGGAGGCTCCATACTTCGATGTTTTGTGATTGCCCAGAGCTGCAGCAGAGGACTGACTGTTGGTCTGTATTCAGGGCAGGATTCCAGGACAGACTTGGGTTTTTAATCTCTCCTCCACACCTGCCTCTTTCATGTGGTCAGCTACGCAAATGAATCTCTCATTCATTAACTCAAGCCAAATGATGAGAATGAAATTCTTTCTGCGAATAAGTGTCTGTGCGTGAGTGTGCGGGCTGACGTACGGGATAACCAAGTATCATTCCCACGTGAAACGGCATTCCCAGACTATGAGGTGGAAAACGGGAGGTCTAGCTCATTAACGGCGGCCGGTCGCCCTGTCATTCCACGTCCCTCCACTTCCTGTAAGTGTCCACTGTCTCACCGTGTCTCACCGTGTGGAAAGTAATAATGCAGCACAGACGACGGCTGAGGATTACTGCTGCAAGAAAAAATGAGGATGGAGACGTGCGTGTCCTCACTCTGGTTCACACACATTCTTTAATATGGTCCAGGTGTCGGCCTGCGCTGCCTCTTTATCATCCATGCTTAGTAATCAAGGACACCCTGACCAATAACATACACTCTCTGTATCATCCAACGTTATGAGAAACAGAAGTTTCAGTGTGAGCAGTCAGTTCGACTCGGACTCTGGTTTGGTTTGTACTGACGAAAACATGTTGCAATGGACATAAGAAAAAACGAGTCTTGAGAATTGAAAAAAAAAACAGCTTAAGGGTTATAGTGTTCAGAAAAATAAAAAGCAAATTAAAAATTGTAATTTGTCAAAAGTAACTGTAAACATTGTCTTTGAAGATTCATCTCAGCAGCTGTCCATCCTTCCTTTATTCCATCAGGGATCAGCCAATCCCAACAGTCAACAGGTGAGGACGGTGTACACCCTGGACAGTGACTAGGTCTCACAAAGATCCGTGTCAACGTCTCAGTTCTGTTTTCATATTTACTTTCTAACAACCGCCCATTCACAGCCTGATGAGTCTGTGACTCAGACTGACAAAAAAGTCTAAAAATATCTTCTTTTTCTTTTGACTATTATTATTATTATTTAAATTTTGGCATGTCCCTTAGTCGTGATGAAGAGCTGACTTTTGTCCAACACAGTTATCAAATGAAAAACACATGAAAACCAATGAGTTGTCTCACTGATACACATCAGGTTTATTTTTACATTAAGTGACAACTTTCCTAATCACCATCTCTCTCCTTCTCACCTACTACACACAAACAGTCCCACACACACACTCACACACACACTCAGTCTTCTTCAGGCATCTGTTAAATAACCGTCCCTGTGCTTGGCTTCGGGCTTCGACCTCTGACAGCTAGAGCCGTCCACCTCGGCTTTGATCAAGTGTTGTTCGTTGGTTGTCTCACTCATAAAACGTGATTTACATCATGGTTACATTCCACTTAACACCTGCTGACACCAAGGTTCAATCACTATGGTAATAAAACGCTATAGCAGTGCAGAGTAGAGTACAGCAGAGTATTTTTAAAAGGAGCACAATAAGAGAGATTCCAACTTCATCAACTGTAGTAGACTGGTTACCAATAATGCTGTCCATTATCATCCCCATATAAATCAATGCAGCTGTCTGGAAAAAGACAGATGTTTAAAATATGACCCGGTTTGTCTGAGACAGTTGCAATATTGGGTTAAATTGCCGTCGTTATTCCTAACCATCAAGCAATAAAATCACCCAACAGCTATTACACTGGTTCAACTCTCTGGTGACCTATGAACTTAGATCTGAGGGAAGAGCTGCTTCATGGCCTGCAGGAAGTCACAGTAACGTTTCAGAGTATGATTTTAACATCACACTGAAGAGTCCAGAGACTCCTCTATCTTTGGTTTGGGCCACAGGGAACAGAGGGGTCTGTACAGCCGTCCTCAAAGTTCCAGTTGTAGCTGGAAGACTGTATAGATGTAACTGCTACTTAACATGTTAATACATGTATCTGCTATTAAATATTATTATTATTATTATTATTTAAAATGTCAGGTTAATAAACTCAGCAGCATGGACTTTACTATGAGACAATGAAATGTTCTTTAAGCTCCAGCAGTTCTACACAGGATGACTAGGTGGGCCGTGTTTGGCCCACGGGCCTCGAGTTTGACTCATAATATAGAGTGATATTTGTGCAGTGAACAGTATAATCTGGTGTAAAACAAGAGCATACGTACACAGGCAGGTGAAATACACTGACATGATAAATAAAAAATGACTTTACTGACTGTTGATGTCTACACGTGTAACATCTTATTTCCACTCATCATCCTGTCAACAAATTGTTGCTAGGGCAACCATACGTGACACAGCAGGTCACAAGGGGGACAAGTTTTTGTTTTTTTTAACTCTCAAAACCAAGTCGATCTTATAATAAAAAGTTTTCAAAAGTTAGACACGTAGATGTTTGTTGCCTCCTGCCGTCATTCCGTAGTAAACATTCGACCAAAAAGCAGCCGAAGGGAAGAGTCTGACCAGAGGAGGAACAGGAAAGAAGTGGGGAAGGAAGACGGCCTCGGTGGCGGCGGAAACAGAGGGGACAAAGGGAATTAATCCCAGCTCCACCAGGACGGAGGAAACAAAGGAAGGACACAGTTGTGAAGGTTGTACGAGAAGTGAGACAGATGTTAACTCTTAGAGCTTAGGTCTCTACTGTCTCCGCTCTAATGCCTTCAGCTGAGAGCTATCCGGTGCTGGAACCGTGTGGTGTCTGCAACGTTCGTCTCTGCTATTGACGTAACCTGGGCATAATCAACAACAGATGAGTTTCTACAGGGACTTGGCTGCAGTGTGCCCACCAAACTGTTTTCAACACAAACATGCTCAGCTCTTCCAGGCAGGGAAATACTACCAGTCTGTCTTACACACACACACACACAGAGAGAGAGAGACACACACACACCTTCAAAGGTCCTGGTCAAGTTTCCCACAACCCACAATCACAGACAGTAAAACACACGTTGTCTTTTTCTACAAACTGACACCGGAATCTCGTAAGTGTGAAGGAATTACAAAAAAAAAAAAAAAAAATTAAATTAAACTACCAACCTTCAAAATCAGAAATAATCCCCTCCAAGTGTGGATTGACACCAGAGTCTGACATCTTTTTGGTCATCAAATATCACTTCTCTGTCTTCTCTGACTTTCAAAGGAAACTCCTGTCAATTCTGAAGAAAAATTCAACAAATAATGTCCAGCCCACAACTTTCTTAAAGGAGAAATTATCACTGCATTTGGACAGGGGCGAACCAGAGAGAGAGCAGGAGGACAAGCCTCCTCCCTACTCCTCCCCTCCCTGCAGCCAGAAACACACTCCCCTTCTCCCTCATGTCCTGTGTCAGTGTGTTTCCCCCTGCCCCCCACACACTCGTGCACGCACGCGCAGGCACTGACGCAGACAACAGGCCCGGTCGTTCCCTCGGACCCTTTACGACCAAAGGTGTTTCTCACAGACGGGATCTGAGCAGCTCAGACAGTGGAGGTGGACATGTCCCACACTCACTGCCACAGAGCTAACCTGCCATCAGAGAAGAGCTCCAAACCAACATGAACTTTTTAAAACTGAGTCAACTCTGCAAACGTTTCAACCCAACCCAGAGTTTGTTCCTTGAGACGGTCGTTTGAGAACTCATCTCAGCTCTGGACCAAACTTCTGGTCAACAGGGTTCTCAGGGAACTCTGGTGTGATTGCGGTGCATTTAGGGTTAAAAATAAAATGAGCTAAAAGTGAAAAACACTGTGCGAGGATGACAGTGTTGGTGTGCTGTGGTGCAGTGTCAAAGTGAAACAAACCAAATGAAAGAGTAAAATTTCCCCAGTCTATCAAACCAAGTCCTCTGACTGCTCTGGTGTCAGAGTTCTCAAACATAAAGGAACTGCAACGCAAAAGACCTGTCAGGTGACCTGACTGACCACTGACACCCCTCTGGTACCACGCTGCTGCTGCTGCTGCACGGCGGGAAAAGCCAGGAAGAAACTCAGGAACAAGCTGGACCTCTGGACCCTGAGGTGGTGACAGGAGCAGCGTACTGCCGTGTGGTCACTTGTCAGGAAAGGTAGGAATTTGAGCGTGGTCACCACATGTAGCATTGAGGGAAGTCTTTTGGGAGAAAGAGTGACGACAAAAGGGCTTTTTGATGTAAGGGCTTTGGTTACACTCCAGGTCCTTGAAGCTGCTGTGGTTAATTTGCTGCCTGTTCTGGGGAAGGAGCGAGAAATGCTGTTGAAAACATGTTGATAGAATCATCTGAATGTTACAAAATATCACCACCGGCCCCCTTTCAACCACTTTCATTACTGCAGTATTACTTATCATGAATCACTACTGGAAACAAAGCAACAGAGATGGAATCACACCGCAATTACTGAGTGGTCACGAGTGAAGTGCAGCTTCCTGTTTGGCCCAGAGAGAAACTGCAAATCAGTTTTGTGATAAATGGGTCACTCTGACCGTCGTCTTGCAAAAATATTTAACAAAAAAAAAAAAAAAAGAATGAATCAGAGACGCACTTTTGATCCAAGGGAACTTGAAGTAAAGCCTCGTATGATCTGTCAAAGGAAAATGACACAAAATAAACTGAGCTCTTTAATAGACTGGAAGAAAAGAAACATGGAAAGTGGAAGTGGAAAGTGAACTCCGTGTCGTTGTGACACAGCACACCACTGTGACCTCTGCTTTTAACCCATCACCATAGTGATCAGTGGGCAGCTTTAAGGGCCCGGGGAGCAGTGTGTGGGGACGGTGCCTTACTTGGCA